AGAGAGAAGGATAGTGCCGCGGTGCCGCTGCGCCCCCTCTGCTCCCCTTCCCATCTGCGCCGTTGCCATCCCCTTCGCCGGCCGCGCGTTCGCCTCGCGGTGAGCGCGTCGCCGTCGAACGGTTTGGCGGCGGTGCCCTTTGCCCCTCTCGGGGTGATGTTCTTCGTCCGACGCCTCGGCTTACTGATGCGTGTCCGGATCGAGAGGAAAGGCGCGGCCTTGTGGCGGCGCTCTTTGCCGGAGAGCCCAAGGCTCTGCTTTGGTGCTTTTCTTTGCCCTGTTCTAGGGTTGCAGGGGAGGGGAAATTTTCTCTGTCTTTAATTTCAACCGAAAAATCCTAGACACAACCTGGCTCTGACACCATTGATAGATCCATGGGATCGAGTAGGGTAGGATTTCCGGTAAACCTACCTTCTCCAGCGGTTGATGAAGTCGAGCCGGAGGCCATCGTGGAGAGGGTGATGGTGGCGATGGCAGAGAGAGGTGAGGTGGATACGGCGGTGGAGCTTCCCATCGCTTCAGTGCCGCCCTCTGGATCGGATTAGGGTTAGGAGTGGGGAACAGTGGCAGCGACGAGCCTCATACCTTGTGCCCTGGTCCCCACCTCCTCTTTATAGCACTGCGCGACAGGGGCCCACCAGCCTTGCTTGGGCTGGACGCCCCCAATCAGGGCGTGGGTCAAGGGCCCAATGAGCCGTTGGGCCCATTGGAGGAGAGATCAATCTAACAGGAGGGAGTATGTTGCAAAGACTCTTTGGGATACCGTGTAAAACCCGATGTATTTTTATGGAATGAAACATCATGCCTGTTATAAAATAGTACGAACAATTATTATAACTCATCATGAATTAAGAACTTCATATAGAGGGAAAAAGATATAATCTGAATGGCTGACTTAACCAAAGTCCACGTCCAATTTCCCACCTAATTCTAGTGATTCAACTGAACATCAATTTCTCGAGCACAAATTTGAGTAAAAAGTTAAATCATGTACCTAAGTGACAGCTAGCGTGATTCATTATTGTAGGCAAGTAAGGTTGATCCTGAAGATGTAACCTTGCATTCAAATAGGAGCATTTGCTGGATTAACTTGGGTGAAGGAGACAAGGCCTTGGAGGCAGCCGAACTGTGCAGGATGATACGTCCTGATTGGCCAAAGGCCTGTTACAGGCAAGGGGCGGCCCAAATGTTTTTGAAGATGAGATAGAACTTCACAGTTTACAGCTACTCCTGTTGTGGCCAATACCTTTTTATGCCCTATTGACATTGCAATCCACCTGTCTTCAGAACTATGAAAAAGCATGTGATGCATTTCAAGATGGTCTAAAGTTGGACCCAACAAATGTTGAGATTGAGAATGCATTAAGGTACCATACTTATCCCTGTCTTTGTCTCTATCTGTGTCAGAAATTTTAGTGTAAGCGCAAATCTCGCTCTGGATTCCGTTACTGTGTCATGATTAATCATATAGCGTATCATACTAAAACATGCATATGGTGAATATCTTGTGCATAGTATGCAGTTGAATACACTAGTTTGATACTCCCTCGGCCCCTCCGATCACAAATATGTCATTTTACGGTTGTCCATAGTTAAAACTTCATAAATCTGACCTTTGATAACACAAGATGATGCTACTAAATTTATCATGGAAATTAATTTCATGATGGTCAAATTTTCACCCAGTAGAGCATGTTGATGTCCTCAGACGTATATATGTGGCATATAATTATTGCCTCAAGAGTGAATCCCAAATTGTGTTGTCACACATTGCTATTTCAACACATTTGCTTCCCCCCGTTCTTAAATATATGTCTTTTTAGAGGTTCCAATATGGACTACATATGGAGGAAAATGAATGAATCTACACTCTAAAACAAGTCTATATACATCTGTATGTAGTCCACATCGAAATATCTAAAAAGGCTTATATTTAGAAACGGAGGGAGTATATAACATAGTGATGTCATAATTTGATTATGCAGGGAGGCATTCAAGTCGCTGAAGATATCTCGTGTGAAAATGGTCTCTTGAACCATCATCCTTTGATCAGAAGAGACCTGCCCAAGGCCAGGCTGTTCCTGTGCTTGCTTCCCCTTCGATGTTTAAAGCCTTTGAGTTGAGAAGTTCCGCGTAGTACTGTACACGCGAGCTTATCTGGCTTATTTGCGTATAGTAGTATGTTGGGTCATGATGGTACAATCTTTTTACTGTTTCTCGCTAGTAAATGCTGACCATAAGTTTGTAGACATGCGGTGACAATTTGTCTGCATTTTCGTGCCAAAATGCGGGAATTCAGTATGAATTAATGCATGGTGCGGTAGCATGAAGTTGGACGGTTTCATCCATGAACTGGGGGTGTCTTAAATTTGGATGTTTTTAGCCATGAATTGGAGGTGTCTTGAATTTCTGCCTCTACATTTTCCGTTTTCTGTTCGGATTTCTTGATTATTTTTCTTTTTCTTGTAGCTAGTATGTTGGTTACCTTACCTAGTTTAGCAATAGGCTCCTACAAGAGATGTCATCGATTTCTTCCTGAGTCTCCATGTCATGAATTAGTTCCTGCTAAATTGCGTCTGTGACGGTGTGCGCATGACTTGTGAAATCATGATAAGGTGTATCCCTACTCCCTAGCGAAGGTTACTAGAACGGAGATGCACGCATTGGGGTAGCCCGTTCGTGTTATAGAAAATTTAAAGATACATATAAAACATAAATTAACACAACAGAAGAAAACTTAACTTATTAAGATTGTCTTAAGCCAGCCTGAAGAAAAGTTAACTCATTTAACGATGGTCTTTAGCTAGCCAGCCTTAAGAATTTACTCCCTCTGTCCGAAAAAGCTTATTTAGTGCTAGATACATCCATTTGAGGGACAAGCTTGAGACAAGTTTTTTCGGACGGAGGGAGTAACTCATTTAACGATGGTCTTGAGCTAGCCTGCAAAAACTACAAATACTAGTGACGCAACAAGGTAGAGTAGAACTGCAACCATAATCTAGTGAAGGGGTGAAGTCCAGTGGCATAAATACGTTTTTTTCCCAATTTTCTACATGCCGCTTTAGGTCATTGTTAAATTTCTTGCCTTGCCATGCAGGTGCAAAAAGCATTTTTCCAATACGTATAGCCACACTCTGAGGAAGAAACAGAATCACACTTACAAATTTACATATAAACATAATTGCTGAGTCCTGACACAGATTGCGGTAGGCACGGATCTAAGCCTCACACAAGGGAGGCATATCATATTCATCGGCACCGGCAATCAGTTTCAGCGGTTCCACCATAATTGCTGAGTCACACCACTACAATTCCACGGAAAGACCTCCATACACGCGAGAAGCTTTGTCTCGAGGGCATCATGGCATGAGAAAATTTGGCAACATGATGTGAAAGATCGCGCCTGCGTGATCCCTCTGTCAGACGGACCCCGCCCTGTTGTAACTCGGCGATCACCGGAGCTGAGCAAGAGAGTGAACACGAGAGAGAACAAGGTTTTTGCGCTGCGAACTTACTGCAGCTTTTCAGGCTTTCTGTATTTCTTCAGAGGTTACACGATCTAACTGAAAACGAGAAAGTCGGGCGCGATCGGGTCGCGAATGCTGTCATCCCAGCACTCCCCACTCGTCGCCCGTCATGACGCCATGACCGTTCAGTCGTGCCATCCCACGATCGGGTCAGGGCGCTGCAATCCTAGCTAGCTACCCCGAGACGTAGCTCGGTTTATATCTGACGAAACTGAAGAAAAACAGCTACTGTCGAAACTGAAACTTTCGACACCTAAAACCCTAGTGAACCTGAAGATTACAGCAACACCCTCCAAACCATGCCAACTCCTTTGTTTTGGTCAATCACTTTTCTGGGAAAAAATATATCAAATCCTGTGGTGTCATATGTCGTGGTTAGTGACCCATCGTTGTTTTCTTTTAAGGTCCGACCAAGTGGCGGCGACGATCATGTTTTGGAGGCAGCAACAGCGCCATATGATATGACTCCCTTTCCTTTCGTAGCATGCCTGGGTGTTGTGCAACATTCAAAAGGTGAGTCAAGAAAGCTGCATAAAAGGTGCCATGAAACCTCAACCGGTGGAGCAGCCTTGCAATCGGTGATCTCATTGCATACATGCAAAATGGACCAGAGCATCAGGAATATGAATAGCATAATAAGACATACGTTTGATCAAGACAAACTTTTGTTTCTACAGTGATAGAATTCACTACACCTGCTCATACAACCTTCAGTTTTTACAAGTTTCTCTGTCAGTGGATGCATGGATCTGATCAAGTTCATTGTCCAGCGTTTTGTGGGTTTCACCAATGGAGGATGGTGCTTGAAATCGGTGATGCCGTCTACCAACTGGTAGACGCTTTACTGCGTCGTCTAATGCACCTCTCTGCCCTCCATGCAACAAGTTCCACGTGAGCAGGCTCATATGGTTACAATGGGGCACCAGTGCCCCATCTTTGAATGTCTTGGTTCTTGGGTTGTAGATCCGCAATATTCCTTCTCCTTTGGTTGGTGAGGTTAGGGTTTCTCGTCATGTGGTGAGATTTGGGCCTACAGATCTATGTAAGGGTTCAACGGCAACAACTACAGCTCCAGGGAGCTGGTCCTTAGGGACACGTGCACGAAGACTTCCCCGCTATCATCAACAAGGTCAAGCCGGCTCCGGTAGGGAGCGCGACAACAGGGGCTCGTTCTGGTGGCAATAGTGGTCGTTCGGTAGTCTCGAAATCTTGAATTTTTTTTATCATGTTTGAGATGCTTTGTACGCACGATGAACTTTTATAATAGATCTATGAACTTTTATAATAGATCTCATCATTTTTGCAAAAAAAAGATGAACTTTTATTTCTACTCTGATAAAATTATTTACACATATGCTCATACAACCTTCAATTTTTTTACAGGTTTCTCTCACTGGATGCACATGTGCTCATCAGATCAAGTTCCTTGTCCGGCGATTTGTGGGGTTCACCGATGGAAGATGGTGCTCGAAATCAGTGATGCCGTCTACCAATTAGTAGACGCTTCACTGCGTCGTCTAACGCACCTTTCTGCCCTGCATCCAACAAGTTCCACGTGAAGAGGCTCATATGATTACAATGGGGTACCAATGTCCCATCCTTGAATGTCTTGGTTCTTGGGTTGTAGATCCGCAATATTCCTTTTTTGAAGATGCACCCCTGCTGGCGCATGTAAATCACAATCCTCCCATCATCCAACACTGCTAATGGCTTCTGGAAGAACTCAGCGGTGTAGCACATCTGTGGCTGGTGGGTTTGGGTTTGGTAGGCTGGCATGTTGATGGTGTACCGTTTGAACCAGAGAGACCGGTCCGAGTCCATGAGGAACCATAGCTCAATGGAGGAGGTGAGGCGATTGGTGGACTGGCATGCGACCAGTTGACCTTCCAACTCGGCCAACTTGATGCATTGGCAGTTTGCTGGGCCTCGGAGGGAATCCGCGGATGATCGCCACACCTCCTTGTTGAAGTCGAACGCCATGATCTGTTGATACACCATGGTCTGGTGGTACGCATAGCTCGAGAGAAAGTAGGCGACCCCATTGATCACAGCAACGTCTCCAACCAGCATCAACGAAGGACTCTGTGTAACCCTCCAACCATCGTCACCGAGGCCGAGGGTGAGGATCTTGCAGACAAACGGCTCGTGCCTAGCTGATGTCGATGTGGTGATGGCGAGCACCTTGTGCTCTCGCGTGGAGGCAGCGCGCCCGACCGGGGACCAGATTAATATGTGCCCCTCTCGCGGCGCATGGTCGGGCAAGAGGACGACATCGCCGTTGGCGGGGTCGAACAGGCGGAGCCGGTTCTGTGGGTCGAGGATACAGACCACGCGGTCGTGACTCATGGGGTATGTAAGGTCGTTGTTGGCGACTTTTACCCGCGTGACGGCGCCGCCGGACTCCATGTCGAGGACGGTGACCTCGTTTTTTGATAAGTAATCTTTTATGCCAACAGCGATGAGCGGGCCAGGGTTACGGGCAGCGGCGATGAAGTCCGCGTGGCTGAGCAGCGATCGCCATGACCTGCAAACAGCGCGGAAACGGCAGAGCGTCTCGGCGGGGAGGCGTAGCAGGACGTCGTAGAGAAGGTCTAGAGGCAGCACGCCGTCGTTGCTGGTGGCGACGACCGGAGGTGGAGCGCTGGATCGCCGACGCTTTGGTGGATGGAGCAGCATCGCCATATCCCACAGATTGGTTCGGCGTGGCTGTTAGCAAATAATCCCGTTGAGCTGTTTGTTATCCTCTAGTTTTTTCTTAGCTAAAATAAAGGGCCATGCAGCGTGGAATCTGTTCCGGACTTGGCGTAGTTTCAGACTTTCAGTTAGTTTGTTTAGCTGAGCCGTCACAGGTGGATCGTGGGATGGCACGATTGTAAACGTGTGACGGCCACACCCTAGCGATCGGGAGGACGTGGGATGGCACGTCCGATCAGCCCGCTCGTGGACCGGGTATCTTGTAGTTTCTGTTCTGAAGCACTTGACTGAATAAGAAGAAAAAGGGAAAAGGCTGCAGAGGTTGAACGCAGCGCAAACACTCGTGTTCTTTGTGAGAGAAAGAGTTCAGAGAACTGATCCTGCAACTACAGTGGCGGCGTAAACTGAACGATGAAAAAGTGGTACGATTTGTCATACGTATGCTGGAACCGTACATGTTGTGGACTCTATCCAGGAATGTCATCTGGCCCATGGGCCTGCCCTCGGACCTGCCCGTGGACCTGGCCCATGTGTGAGGCACTCAACGCTGCATCTATACTACCAAATTTCCTGCCTCGGGATATTGTAAGATCCATGTTGATGCAGGAGTTTTAAGCAGGAAGAGAGGCTCAGCAGCAGCCATTTGCAGGGAGCTATATGGGGAGTTCGGCACTAGTTGTTGAAGGAGTTTTTGATCCAGCCATCCTGGAAGCTATAGCTTGCCATGAGGCTCTTTCCCATGCAGAAGACTTGGGCATCCAAACTTTGTTGTGGCCTTTGACTGTCAGCAAGTCGTTTCAAATATTAACAGGAGTGCACGGGGGACATGTGAGCAATTATCAGTTAAATAAACCTTAAAGCGTCTAACTTTCTTTGTTATTTTTCCTTTGAGAGTCGTGTTGTTAATCATGAAGCACATAATTTAGTCAAGTTTTCTCTTTCTAGAGGTATGGGGTGCCACATCTGGTTTGGTGTAGCCCACAACCACAAATGTGTCGCACACCATGTGGACTTTTTTTAAAACACAGTAGACGCAAGCGGTCACACCATATGGACTTTAATGAATAAATTTGGTGTTTATCACTGAAAAATCAATAAATTCCCGTATTGTCTCCTCTCAAGAAAAAACAAGAAATTCCCATACAAAAAGTAATAATAGCGAGAAGCAACGAGCGAGGCATCCCGTGGATGGTATGTGACATGTTTGCTTCAATTTGTCGGTCAAAATTCTTTCGTATCAAATCTATTTTTCGCCGCACTATGATCGCAAAATCATCTGCATCCAAGATCTGAAGATCTGAAAATCCAGCTAGCTACTTCATTTTGTGCTAAAGCCCTAGCAATGGATGGGAATTTCTTGTCCTATAATACAAATAATAAAAGTGTCAGAGAAGTACCGCGTAACTTGTGTGCTGATGTTGCGCATCAGCAGCCGCCAGCCGGTGGATCGAGCAAGGTTTATTTAGCACAGCCTCTTGCACATGCAGTTCATCGGCTCATCTAAATACTTCCTCCGTCCGGAATTACTTGTCGCAGAAATGGATAAAATTAAATATATCTAGAACTAAAATACGTCTAGATACATCCATTTCTTTGACAAGTATTTCAGGACGGAGGGAGTACCTGCGAGTACACAAATTGGAGGCTTCTCCGGATCAAATTCTTGAAGTGAATGGGGTTGGAAGGGAACTTTCGTACGAGGTGGCTCACCCGTCACTTGGACTTTTTATTTTTTTCAGAAAAACTTTCAATCTATTCATCTTCAATCATGGTAGTACAACGAACACTAGAAATAATAAAAATTACATCCAGAACCGTAGACCACCTAGCGACGACTACAAGCACTGAAGCGAGCCGAAGGCGCGCCGCTGTCATCGCCCCTCCCTCGCCAGAGCCGGGCAAACATTGTTGTACTCCCTTCATTCCACAATGTAGTGCCTATAGATTTTTATGAAAGTCAAACTTTGCCAACTTTGACCAAGTATATAGAGAAAACTGTCTACATCTACAATACCAAACATGTACATTCTGAAAATATAATTCAGGATGTATCCAATTATGTGCATTTGGTATTCTAGATGTACCTACTTTTCTCTATAGATATGGCCAAAGTTTGTAATGTTTGACTTTTAAAAAAATCTACAGGCACTACATTATGGAACTGAGGGAGTAGTAGACAGTAGGGAAGTCGTCGTGCTAAGGCCCATGGAACCAACGCACCAGAACAGCAACCGCTGCAGATGAAGAGTGTAGATCAAAAGAATCCAACCTGAAGACACACGAACGAAGACGAACGACGAACAGATCCGAGCAAATCCACCAAAGACAGATCCGCCGGAGACACACCTCCACACGCCCACCGATGATGCTACACACATCACCGGAACGGGAACTAGACGGGAAGACCTTTATTCCATCTTCAGGAAGCCGCCGCCGTCTCGCCTTGCTGAGCAAGACACAAACCCTAACAAAACTCAAAAAAAGATATGAAAGCGGAGCCCTTCCACCAGCAAGGGCCGAGATCCACTCCGCCTCCATGGCCCTAAGGCCACCGGAGACGGGACGGACCCGCGCCGGCGCCGGTGGAAGGCAAAGAACCCTAGTTTTGGGGAGGCGGCGGCTGGCTACGGCGGCTGGCTACGTTGGACTCGTCTTATGGATGGATTACTCATGTAATTTCATATTTTCAGATCCCAAAAATCCCAAAAGAAGCAAGCATTCGATATTCGATTGTTGAAACTTATTGTACTATAGTTTCGCTCCAATGTCAAATAAATATAGTTTTCACATTGGCATATTGTTATGATTTAAAATTTAAACATGTTCAACTTTAGGATGCTCAAAGGCACCAAAATCTATATATTTTTAACAATCGATGATGCATCGGTTCATCAACCGAGAACAGCTCCAGAAGTGAGAGTTCCTTGCGGATGGTTTGTTCGCTGGTCAGTGTGACATTGATGTCATCATCAAAAGTGCGATGGCACAAGATGGCCTGTGGGAGAGTACGAGGGGATACGCTTGACGCCCAAGATGGCCTATGCAAGTGAGCATGATTTATGTCTACATACCGATATCAAATTTTCTTTTGAAATAGTTTTCCTTCAATGAAACTAAATACTGATTCGACTGAGATGAAAATATGTTTCTATATAAACCGATAAACCTATTTCAACGAAACAAAATATCATGGACCCAGACGCGGACAATTTAGTTTTGATACAGATTGATCCAGACAGTCTTCAATGTCGACCTGTACTTGTTGGTGTGTGCACTAATCAGATCCCCATGTTTGGTGTCTTTTTGTTGGGATCCATCAGTGTGCATTAATCCTCCAAATTCGGTCAGTTCTTTATTTGGAACGTGGCTTGTTGGGATAGAGTCCGAAACAGCTAGACAGATACGCGTAGGAGTATGTGCGTTGTTATGGGCAATTTGGAACTGCATAAATGATCTGGTTTTTAACAGAACAACAACTATTCATTTTTTGCAGGTTTTATTCAGAGCTACTGCGCTGGTCCGTATGTGGTCCTTACTCACTCCGACGGAGACCAGAGAGCGTTTGGTTACTGGATCTGTCCGGTGGCAGATGGTAGCGTGGGATATCTTCAACCGGTTTGGATGGCGGTCATGTAATAGGATAGATGATTAGTTTTTCTATCCTTCTTATGTCAGCCGGTTGTGGCTTTTGGGCCTTTTGTTTTTGGCGTTGTGGCTCTTTGTGAGCTAACCATTTATTTGTTCTAAGACTATAAGACCTTGATGAACATCTTTATTTATCTATAAATATGGTCGTATGCATCGTTTTGGTGCAGAGGCCAGGGAGTTCCCTTTTCGAAAAAAAACCCAGTGTAGGATCGATGGTGTGCACTAAACAAATCAATGATGTCTTCTGCCGATTAGAAGATGTTTTGCTGCACTATCTAACGTGCCTCCCTTCCCTGAATGCAACAAGCTCCACATGAACACGTAGACATGATTACAACTGGGTACCACCATCCCATCCTTGAATGTCTTGATTTTCGGGTCGTAGATTCGCAGCGCCGCATCGTGGGTACTCCCTCCGTCCGGGTGTACAAGTCATTCGCGTAGTTCTAAGTCATCGATTTGAGGAATTAAATATGTGTTATATGTCATGAAAAGTATACCACTAGATTTCCACATGGATGTAGTTTTTAAATATATACTTTTTGTCACATATAATACATATTTAGATAGTTAAATTATCGACCTAGAACTACGCGAATGACTTATACACCGGGACGGAGGTAGTACTACACTCGTCACGGAGCACCTGCATCAACAGTGCTAGAGTAGAACGAGAGATGTAATGAAAACTGTGTGTCCTTTATTAGATGAGATCTACTATTTATACAAAGGAAAGAGACACCATTGGAAAGGCGTCTGTTCAGGGAGGTGCCAATTTGGCAGGGAACCGACGCGGCAGATGCAACTGCCTGCGGCTAGTAAAAGCAGGGATTATCCCTTAACTAATAATCATTAATTAATCCTAACACTCCCCCTAATCAATGCTTGATCATGAGCAGACATCATCTTCATAAAGATTCTCCTTGAAAACCCTGTGGGAAAAATGTAAGGAGATACGTGTTTGATATGTTGCTAAAACTCCTTCAAACCCGGTGGGAAAAATAAGGAAAAAATGGTACAACATATAATGGTCATTGTCTCTTTTAATTCAATACGAGAAAACTCATAGAATTTAGAAGACAATAAATACGTCGTATATACTTTCCCAAAAACCCCGATGGGGAAAACAGAAAGTATGACATATGATCTCATGTTGATATTACCTCATTAAAAACCTTTATGAGAATCTTTAAAGTAAACTCATGAAGGGAAAAAGAGTATAATATAATGCTTTGAACATGAACAATTCAGGAAGGTACCCCCCTGATTCTTGCAAATTCTGAAGCCAACACTTACTAATTCCATGAACGTATTTCTGGAATGTAGAAGTTGGTAGAGAC